GTGTGTTTGTGTGTGTGTGTGTGTGTGTGTGTGTGTCCACGTGTGTGTATTTGTTTATGTGTGTGTGTTCGTGTACATGTGTTTGTTTGTGTTTGTATGTACAGTATGTGTGTATATGTTTGTGTGTATGTGTGCATGTGTATGTGTGTGTTGTGAGCATATATGTGTGTGTGTGTGCGTGTGTATGCGTGTGTGTGTGTGCGTGTGTGTGTGTGTGTGTGTGCGTGTGTGTGTGTGTGTCCATTTGTATTTTTGTTTGTGTGTATGTGTGACTTAGCATGTGTGTGTGATTTTGCTTGTGTGTGTGTGCACATGCATGCGTTTGTGTGTTTACGTGCGTGTGTACGAGTGTTTGTGTGTGTTTGTAGATGTGTGATCGTGTCTGTATGTTTGTGTTTGTGTGTGTGTGTGTGTGTGTGTCTGTGTGTGTGTGTGTGTGTGTGTGTGTGTGTGTGTGTGTGTGTGTGTGTGTGTGTGTGTGTGTGTGTGTGTGCGTGTGGATTTGCAGTGATGATTAGCATGCAGACTAGCGCTAACATGCTCTTTGCGCGCCCTTAACCCAGACTTTCATCATCAGACGAGTGTTTGGAGCGCAGACAGAGCTGGAATCTCTCCGCGTCCGCTTGATCCTCTAAAGGGAAATGTCAGTGAGATAGAAAGCGTCTCATTTGCGTTGTTCTCCGCCGATACACATCGACAATAATAAAAAATAAAACGCTAGTCATTTCAGAGTCTTTGAACTATCAGGCGGACGCTAACAGCAAGCGAATCACAGAGCGGCCGATAATGATTGTGCTGGACGGCGGAGGGAGAGAGCAAACACTACACTCCTCTTCTGGAGTCTCATTTTACAACTCTTCTACAGTTAAACAGTCGAGTTTCACCATGTTTGACTGCGCTCAGCTGATCTCTTGGTCTGGCAGGAGCACAGTTAGCATCAGGTTGGACCCCTTTTGCCTTCAGAACTGCCTTAATCCTTCCTGGCAGAGAGTCAGCAAGCCACTGTAAATATTCCTCAGAGATTTTGCTCCATATTGTCATGATAGCATCACACAGTTGCTGCAGATTTGTCGGCTGCACATCCATGATGCCAATCTCCCCTCCACCACATCCCAAAGATGCTCTATTGGATTGAGCTCTGGTGACTGGTTATAGGAACTACGTTGCGCTTTAACTATACACTATATATGCTTTAAAACAGTGGTGTCCAAACTCGCTCCTGGAGGGCCGGTGACCTGCATATTTCAGTTCCAAGCCCAATTAAACACTCCTGAACCAGCTACTCAAGCTCTGTCTAGGTATACTAGAGTTCCAGGCAGGTGTGTTGGAAGAAGTTGGAGCTAAACTATGCAGGACATCGGCCCTCCAGGACCGAGTTTGCTTTAAAAAGTCTGCTGTTCATGTAAGAGTGGGAAGCTTGCATAAAGGTTTGGAAGCACTTAAGGGAGGGTAAATAGTGAGCAAATGTTCATTCATTTAGGTCAACTATGCCATTAAAGTCCATATAAACTAAAAGATTTGACCATTTTTTTACGTATTGTGATGCACTCCCTGGAGAAATGGAATATTAAATGAGAAAACAGGGGCGTGGCTTGTTTTTTTTAATGCTGATTGGTTGTAAAGTAGGCGTGTCATTCTGAAAGATGTTATTTGAGGGGAGTTATTACAGCCTAACAGACTCCTCCTGCTCTCCATTACTGTTTATTGTCAAAACTGACAGCTGGAGGGGCGTGGTTAAGTGTGTAAGCCACGCCCAATACCTCAGACAGACCTTATCTGAGAACTCAAAACAAACAGGAAGTCCATTTTCTGATTTCAGTTAAAGATTTCAAGGGCAAACCTTTTTTTTTCTATTAATGACATGCACAGATAAATTGTTCAGCACTGAACTAGCAATGCGAGCTAACGAAATCAATAGTTTTGATGTCATGTGTACTTTAAAGGGCCATGACACCCCCCACTTTCGGTTAAAGTCTACTTCAGAATTTTTTCAAAAGATGCATGATTAATGGGCGTGGAGCTCCGCAAGCATCGGGTAGGAGTGGGCGTGGCCAGCAGGGGAGAACGTGAGCGAATAACTAAGCTAGCTCACAAAATGAGACAAACCGTGAGGAGACGCATGAGTTTATAGTTTACAAAGTTAAAATGCAAAGAAATAAATAGTGATTTAATGCCCTGCTACATTTGCTATTCGTAATTTCATATACACATAACCATAATTTATATCATTATAAAGATAAGTGTGTTCATGTAAACATTATAAATGAGGACTTCTCCCGCAATCCCCGTATCCAGCAGACTCAGTGCAGCAGGTCTCCTGACCTGTCTATTTTAACCATTAGCCCTGCTGCTAATCTGGAGGATTGAGGCAAACACAGCAGCACAGTGATGTGTCTGAATGTGAATGAACTCCTAATAAAAGTCAGCGTCCGCCATTCTCTAATTCTCGTGCTGCTCTCCCGACAAAAATGCTAGCAGCACACACACAGCTTTGCTGTATGATCGGCCCTGACAAGATCGCGGGGGAAAACATGCAACAAACCGCGTGGATCATGGAAACAAACACATATGAGCCTTCATGAACGGCTAAATACTATGTGCCCATGCCGTGGGTCCGTGACGTGTCTCTCAGCTCGGGCTTGACTCTGGCAGGTCTCATGAATAATTAAGCAGCCGGCTCTTCTCATAGGATAAGAAAACTCCGCTATGAATAATAATGAGAAACCGACGCGTCATCATTGCACTTGCAGTTCTGCGCTACGTCGCCGATTTTGATCCGCCCCAAAAATCATTTTAAAACCGGAAGCTGAAATTAGCTTAAATTAATTAGAAATTAGCAAAAGCTCAAAATTATCCAGTTTTTCCCACAATTAAAGCTGACAGGTGCTAACATTGTCTTAACTGATGCTCAACACACACACACATCTGTTAATATATAAAAAAAAGTTCTCCAGGGTGTCCTGAACCTTTAAAGATACTAATGAATGCACACATGCTTGTGTCTGTGGTGTTTCGGCAGTTCCTCCTGTGCTGTCTGTGCCGCAGCAGTCCTTCAACGCCACTGCAGACTACCAGGAGTCCGTCACTTTCACCTGCGTCACTTCTGGCTCGCCCGACCCGCAGGTCACCTGGTACTGGTGGGTAACAGTAACGCCTGCACACTCTAAAGCATATCCAGTTTTCCAGATTTTGTGATTTATACAGTGACTTGCCTAATTACCCAAAGCTGCCTAGTTAACCTGGTCAAGCCTTTAAATGGCACTTTAAGCTGAATACTAGTAAATAAAAGCAGATCTTACTTTTTTTAAAGCCATTTTAAGGTTAATATTATTCGCCCCTTCAGCAATATTAGTTTTGGATTGTGTCCAGAACAAACCACTGCTATACAATGACTTGCCTAATTACCCTAACTTTACCCTAATTACCCTAGTGAAGCCTTTAAATGTCACTTTAAGCTGAATACTAGTGTCTTGAAGAATATCTAGTCTAATATTATGTGCTGTCATCATGGCAAACAGAAATCAGTTATTAGAGATGAGTTATTAAAACTGTTATGTTTAGAAATATGCAGTGAGATATAACAGGAAGACAAATAATTCCAACTTTTACTGTATACAGATGTTTGACAAAACCACTTTCTCATTTGTGGTTTAAGTAAAAACAGGGACTTTCCAAGCATGTTTCCTTCTGTAGATTATAGTCTCTGCAGATAAAGACTCCAGTCATGATGAATATAATGGTTAATCTGCAGATCAGCAGTTCACAAACTGGAGGAGAGCACAAAATGTGTTCGCACAATGTAAAACAAATATGTAAATGGGCAGTTTTTCTGATTTTGTCATTCGTGTTTTCATTTTTCCCCATTTATTCATGCTTTTCAATTGCATAATGGGACCTTGATCTTTCTTCCAACACTTTTTAACCATTAAAGGTTCGAAAAAGTGACTTTTAGGAGCATTTTTCCTAGTTAACAGTGCTAAATTGTGTGGGTTGGTGTTGTATATCATACTGCAGAAACCTTGTAATAAACTGCCAGTACATTTTCTGTTATTTTACACACTTATTTTTATAGATAATATTTCTTATACATTATATTATTACTTCAAATGACAATGTCAAAATAATGTAAATAAAAGTGACTTTGTTAAACTGTAGAGCTAAATTTTGGACACAACAGAGATCAACATCCCATAATGCAATTCATTCATTCATTTTCCATCAGTTAAGTCTCTATTTCAGAGGTCGCCACAACGGAATGAACCGCCAACTATTCAAGCATATGTTTTACACACCGAATGCCCTTCCAGCTGCAACCCAGTTCTGGGAAACACCCATACACACTCATTCACACACAACCTTATACACTATGACCAATTTAGTTAATTAATTCCCCTATAGTGCATGTGTTTGGACTGTGTGGGGAAACTGGAGCACCCAGAGGAAACCCACGCCAACACGAGGAGAACATGCAAACTCCACACAGAAACACTAACTGACCCAGCTGGGACTCAAACGGGAGACCTTCTTGTTGTGGACCACAGTGCTAATCACTGAGCCACTGTGCCGCCCCCTTAATGTAATTCACAACCACAAATAAACACTTGAGAATCTCTAAATACTGCAAGTGTTCATTAACAGATCTTAATTTTCAGCGTAGGGCACTGGCTGGGCATCAGGGCTAGTGTACTGTACTGTATATAGGGCACAGTGTCCTCAGCTCGTCTGTATGCTAATGTGTGTAGAGGTGATGTGAGCTTTGATCAAACCCTTCAAAGCCTTTCCCTGATAAACCCCAATCAGTTTCTCTCACATCTCGGCATTGTGTGCGGGAGGAATTGAACGTGGCCGTGAAAGTGTGTGCTGGCTGACCCGCGTGGACTGGAAGATGAGGCCGAGCTTGATGATATTCTGGCTAATCTGAGATAAGCCTGAACGATAGTGGAAGAAAACATTACTACTCTATATCAAAATGTTCAGCTGTATATTAAAAGTATATTAGTGTATATTAGTATATTAGAGTTTCACCAAAGTGGCATGGTGGCTCAGTGATTATCACTGTGGCCTTATAGCAAGAAGGTTACTGGTTCCAGTTACAGCTGGGTCAGTTGGCATTTCTGTGTGGAGTTTGCATGTTCTCCCCGTGTTTCCTCCGGTTTCCCCCACAGTCCAAACACATGCGCTATAGGGGAATTGATTAACTAAATTGATCGTAGTGTGTGTGTGTGTGTGTGTGTGTGTGTGTGTGTGTGTGTGTGTGTGAAAGAGTGCGTATGGGTGTTTCCCAATGCTGGGTTGCGGCTGGAAGGGTATCCGCTTTATAAAACATATGCTGGAATAGTTGGCGGTTCAGGGGCGAGGCAGTGGCGCAGTAGGTAGTGCTGTCACCTCACAGCAAGAGGGTCGCTGGTTCAAGCCTCGGCTCAGTTGGCGTTTCTGTGTGGAGTTTGCATGTTCTCCCTGCCTTCGCGTGGGTTTCCTCCAGGTGCTCCGGTTTCCCCCACAGTCCAAAGACATGCGGTACAGTTGAATTGGGTAGGCTAAATTGTCCGTAGTGTATGAGTGTGTGTGTGGATGTTTCCCAGAGATGGGTTGCTGCATAAAAACTTGCTGTATAAGTTGGCGGTTCATTCCGCTGTGGCGACCCCGAATTAATAAAGGGACTCAGTCGAGAAGAAAATGAATGAATGAATGAACAAGTTGGCGGTTCATTCCGCTGTGGCAACCCCTAATGAATAAAGGGACTAAGCTGAAGGAATATGAATGAATGAATGAATGAATGTTTTAGCTTTTGAGGGATCCTTTATGAGTTTTATTTCTTTTCATAACGTGAAAACAAACCATTTAAAGTCAGACAATGTGGAAAAGAATGTAAATCAGCATGCTGCATCAGTTTTCTTTCTACTTGTTGTTTTTTGCAGCGATGATTCTGTTGAGTGCAGTAGCCAATCAGAAGCATTTATATGATCACAGATGGAAACGCTGCTGCTGATTATCCCAACACAATAATGTCTTACATCATAGGTTTTTAATGACTAACACTAGGCCTAAATCCACAGACTTTTAGATAAGCTATACTTGCGAGAGAAAAATAACAGGAATGGTTGATCGAAAGTAATATAAAGCTGGCATTTGAGCAATTGTGTGAGTTTTTAAGTGTTAATGTTCAATCTGAACATTACAAGCCCAAAGTGCAGCACGATTATAGTTTTTTACTGATTTTAAAGCAATGAAAGATTGATGTAAATGGCTGAAATTAAAGCGCATTAAAGTTATTTTTACCGCAGGTCAGAAAGATAACAAAGTTCTCTTCAATTCACTCCAACTTCAAAATTACAGTCATTTAAAGCGCAGGCGTTCAGGTGTTAATGTGTGTTATGAGAGTCCTGTCATGCAGGTTCATTCACAAAGAAAAGTTCACTTTAACAGCAGAATATAAAGATCCTGCAGCGGATAATGCAGTTTAAAGCTAATACAATTAATAAAAAATGATTATATTGTTAGGATATAATGTCACATTCTCTAAAAACCAGCAAGAAGGTCGCTGGTTCGAGTCCCAGCTGGGTCAGTTGGTGTTTCTGTGTGGAGTTTGCATGTTCTCCCCGTGTTGGTGTGGGTTTCCTCTTGGTCCCTTTGATGAACTAAACTGGCCGTATGTGTGTGTAATGACTGTACTAACTGTATGTGTGTGTAAATGAGTGTTTATGGGTGTTTCAAAGCACTGGTCCAGCTGACCAATCAGAACACTGGCCAAGCTCACCAATCAGAGCACAGACTTAGCTGACCAATCAGAGCACATACTCAACTGGCCAATCAGAGCACTGCCCAATCTAAATACTAGCCCTGCTGACCAATCAAATGAGAAACTCAGCTCACCAATCAGAGCACAGACTCAACTCACCAATCCGAGCTCAGTCTCAGCGGCTAATCAGAGCACTGGTCCAGCTGACCAATCAGAACAGTGGCCAAGCTCACCAAGTCATTGCTTGTGTTCTGCAGAAGATGAAATGCTGATTATGATAATGATCAATGGTTATTTTTGGTTGATCTGTTCCTTTAAAACATCCTCTATGTTTACATTATTTATTATTAAATGAATGAATAATAATAAGCAAGCTTTATTATACTTTAGCTCTGCGCGAGACAGCAGTTAAATGCAATAAACATTGATATCATAATCAGTTTTTCCAGTTACATCAGCAATATAATGATGAAAAGATGAACTATAATCTCACTAGATAGATGTTAGTTAATGATTATTATTATTATTATTATGTTCAGCAGTGCATTAGTTGTAGTTCACATCTGTTGTGTTATGCTGATTTATACATGTTCTTATGTTGAGCAGATGTTCTCCTTTATTTTGATTGAATAATGACTGTAAATAAGAGCAGAATGTTGACTTTTCTCTATTATTTGCACTGCTGAAGGTTTGTGATTAAGTTCAGATTAGTGTTCAGCTTGATATCCTCTGATTGTGTCCTGTTTGCTGTTTAGCCTGTGGATAATTCTGGAAACACGGAGAGCTGCCTTAGATTAACTTAATCATGGGCAATGTTGGGTGAATAAGTGACTAGTAAATGTAATTGAGTTACTTATCCGCTGAAAAAAGTCATGTGCTGTTTCTTTTTAGCTCATGTAATTGTAGTTTGCCCTAAATACTGTATAAATTCAACATTTCTGTTTAAATCAGAGAGGCAGAGTAAGTTAAAGAACCTTTTTGTGCATGTGGTGAGGTTGCATGGATGTTAAAGATTCTTCATGGACTCAGAGACGCCTATAAACAAATATAATAAGAGTGCTATCTTGAACATTTCTTTTTTTTAAAGTTGTCATCAAATGTGAGACTCTTGATGTGAGTATTCCCTTGCAGTGTTTTGATGTGTTATTAACTGGTTGTCTGTGTGTCCTCAGGAAGGGTCATGCGATCGAGCACTCGGAGCAGTACGTGTTGAACACTATGAATGGAGGTAAAAGCACGCTCACTGTTAAAAACATCAAGCAAACAGACGGTGGACCCTACATGTGTCGAGCCAGCAACAAAGCCGGCAGCTCCGAGAGCCAGCTCTTCCTCAAGGTGTTCGGTGAGGACACTCTTTCATTCATTCATTCATTTGTTCAGTCATCTGTAGGTTGTGTGCATGAATTCGGACACTAGGGCACTGATGAGCTTGACACACTGAGAGTGACATGAGAACGTCCTCACTGTACATTATCAAAACTGTAATTCGTAAACAACAGCAGAACTAATCTTTCTCATATACTTATTTTACCATGTTTTAAAAAAATGTACATTATAGCTAAATCATTTGGTAACACTGCAGATTAGCTCACAATTCATGCTATAAAGTACTGGCTTATTCCCTGCCTAATATTATTTTCATTAGTAGTTATAATGGATGATCTTATAACTTAGTAGTACTATATTATAACTAGTTAGAAAGTTGACCAATCAGAAGACTTTCTCAACTGGCCAATCAGAGCACTGGCTCACATTACCAGTCAGAGCACAGACTCAGCTCACCAATCAGGGCACTAGCTTAGCTTACCAATCAGAATACAGGCTCAGCTGGCCAATCAGACACAACTCACTAATCAGAGCACGGACTCAGCTGGCCAATCAGAATACTAGCCCAGCTCACCAATCAGAGTGTGTGTGTGTGTGTGTATGCAGAGCGCTGTCATGATAAACAGCTGAACATGAGTCCTGCGCAGAAGCTGCTGGAGTTTCTCATCGTGTGTGTGTGTGTGTGTGTGTGTGTGTGTGTGTGTGTGTGTGTGTGTGTGTGTGTGTGTGTGTGTGCTGATGAGGCATTTATTACAGCAGCTTTTGAGCGTCTGGTGTTTTCTGACCCGGTGTCAGTGTGCTGGTTGTGTTTTTTACACTGCTGCCGCTTTCAGGAGAGCATCGGTTCAGTCAACAGCTGCGGTTTACAGCACTGAATGGGCCATGGCTCATTTATTCACTTAGTACAGACAGAAGTGCTGCAGAACATCCATCAAAGTGCAGTCTGAAAACAGCATTTGGCTGAAAGCAAACCACGCAAGAGTCACATATGGACAAACTCACTGATTTTTGGCTTAAGTTACTGTGGCTGTTCAGGTTGTGGGGTGGCACAGTGGCTTGGTGGTTAGCACTGTGGCCTCACAGCAAGAAGGTCACTGGTTCGAGTCTCAGCTGAGTACTGGAAAAATTCCAGAAAAAAAGATTTTGCTCCATATTGACATGATAGCATCACACAGCTGCTGCAGATTTGTCGGCTGCACATCCATGATGCCTACACTACAGCTCACAATAATGTGTATGTGTGTGTGTGTGTGTGTGTGTGTGTGCGTGCGTGCGTGCGTGCGTGTGTGTGTGTGTGTGTGTGTGTGTGTGTGTGTGTGTGTGTGTGCATTGTAGTCCAGCCTCACATCACTCAGCTGAGGAACGTGACCGCAGTGGAGGGCAGCGCAGCCATGATCTCCTGTACAGCTGAAGGAGAGCCGCTGCCCGAGATCTCCTGGAGGAGAGCCAGCGACGGACACAGCTTCACAGACGGGGAGAAGGTCAGAGTCACTTACTGTAACACTGATATGACCACAATATCATATCACCACACCAGACATCTCATCTGAACACTAATATTGCTGAATGATATGGCTAATAATATTGACCTTTAAATGGTGTTAAAACAATTAAAAACTGCTGTTATTCTAGCCGAAATAAAACCAATCAGACTTTCTCCAGAAGAACAAATATTAGAGGAAATACTGTGGAAATTAGAGGAAATCCATCCGTCCATCCATCCATCCATCCATCCATCCACCTATCTATCTATCTATCTATCTATCTATCTATCTATCTATCTATCTATCTATCTATCTATCTATCTATCTATCTATCTATCTATCTATCTATCTATCTATCCATCCATCTATCTATCTATCCATCCATCCATCCATCTATCCATCCATCTATCTATCTATCTATCTATCTATCTATCTATCTATCTATCTATCCATTTATCTATCCATCCATCCATCCATCCATCCATCCATCCATCCATCCATCCATCATCTATCTATCTATCTATCTATCTATCTA